ATCTTAAAATTAAGTTGTTTTAAAAAAATTTTATTAAAAAAATTTTAAATATCTTATTTTTAAAATATGAATTAATTTGTTATTGTTCTTTTCATGTGATACTTATCAAAAATAACATAATCTTAAATTAATTTTACTTTTAATTTTTAAGAGATAAACACAAGTTCCAATATTTTGAAATCTAACTTGACTAAGCTTTTATTAGCATGGGCACATGTTATTCCCATACATACAAGCATCATTTTTTTTTTATTTTTTTGTTGCAGTTACAGTGTCCCTAGATTACCTCACATAGTTGATGTATTTAAAAATATTAATCTTTTCAAGAATTAAATTTTAAATTCAATTTACAAATCAACATGTAATTATCACTGAATTTAACATTTACAATATGTTTAAGTTGAGGAGAATGGAAGAGGGGGAAAAAGAGGAAAAAAATTATTTTATTTGGTTATAAAAAAATTGAATGGGAGGTGAAAGGAAAATTTTCCTTTAAATAGAATCCATATTGATAATGTAATCAACTAAACGGTGTTAATATTATTTGAGTAATTGGGTTTATTAGTATATTTAATAAAAAAAGTAGGGATGTATTTATATACATGTTTTATATATAATATTTATATAAAATCCTAACATTTATATCTCTATTTTCAATTATTAAGATTTATTTATATTTTTTTCAAGATAATTATATTTTTCATCTAATAAGTAGTAACAAATCTTAACTATTGAAAATAAAGAGATAAATAATTAAAATGTTATATAAATGTGATATGTAAAATTTATATATAAATAAAATTTTTTATAATAATATAGATTTATTGTTTTCCTTTTTAATTTTTGTACCTATCCCCATGGATCCCATGGGTGGAGAAAATTCTAGTGAATTTTTATATGGGAAAAATGGTCTCCATCCCACCCAGGAGAGCACTATTTTGGGAATCTTTGTCCTCATGATGAGTATCTCTGCAGAGCGCGGCATAGAGGAAATTGTCATTCTTTTTAACCTGTCTTACTTTTTAAAAATTAAGAAAGTAATTATTTTAAAATTAAATAATTTTAATAAATTTTTACTAAAAAATAAATAAATATCATATTTTTAAAACATGAATTAAATTGTTCTTACTCTTTTCTTGTGATGTTTAATAAAAATATTATAAATTTAAATTAACTTTAATTTTAATTTTTAAAAGATGAAAGAAATAAACACAAATTCCAATGTTGTGAACTCTAATTCAACCAAGTTTTTGTTAGCATGGGCACATGTTATTCCCATACATACAAGCATCAATATTTTTTCTTTTTTGCAATTGCAATGTCCCTAAATTATCTCACATCTTAAGAATGCACCCTCACATTTTAATAAGCACTCTTATATAGTTATATTGACTTGATGCATTTAAAAAA